TTCACAGAAGCAAAGCCCACACCACACCCACTGCTGTGGAGTCGAATTCAACCCACAGCGCCCCTAGAGAACAGAGTGGAACTGACCCAGGGGGTCTCCAAGGCTGTCAGTCTTCATTTCTCCTGCTGATCAGCTAGTGGATTTGAACCATCAACCTTCTGGTTAGCAGCCAAATGCATTACCCACCACGGCACCAGAGCTCCTCACACTACCATTGTCTCCTGATTTCCTTTTAATGACAGACAATGGCTCAATTCTTTAAATGTTTCTCATTCCAGAGATGAGTAACTTGCTATTCTCATTGTGGGTAAGATCCTGTCCCTGGAATCCGGATCCTCTAACATTCTTCTTGTCATCGGCCCACATACCACAAGGTGGCGCTCTTTCGACACTGAACACATTAAAAAGGCTTGCATTACCATCCCACTGGCAGCCATGTGGATTCTGACTCGGGGGGCCCCCACGTGGGTCAGAGTAGAATGGGGCCCCGTGGGGTTCTCAGGGGCTGCCTTTCTGGAAGGAGACCCCCCCAGGCTTCCTTCTGATTACCCCGATACCAGATGAAGAACACAATCAATGTCTAAGTTACCGTGAAGAGCTTTAGAACCCCTTATGTTTATTAAACAAGTAACATTAGCTAATTCCTCTCAGCTCAGAGACAATGAAATAAAAACAAACCAGACATAAATTTTAAACTAATTTTTTTTAAGAGAAATCTAGATGAACGTTCATCTCTGATTCTCTGCTACCTGACACTCGGCACCCCAGTCCGCTACTTCAGCATAGGAGGTCTCAGGATGGTGCAGGAAACCCCAGGGGGCCCCTCGTCCTAAGCCCCGTCTGAGGCTCCTGCAAGGGCCCACCCATTCTCCCTGAGCAACACCAGTTCAAATCCCCACCTGTGCAGCCACAGAACACAGGTGCGACTCAGGGCGACCTGTGCCCACGGACAACTCAGCAGACAGCTGGACCTCACGGGTGGCGCCGTCCAACAGAGGTCTGCAAAAGCTTTAACCCATGCATCAGAAAGGTCACTCCCATCCTGCTAGTCCAACCCCACTTGGGCAAAGTAAAAGGGTGCTAGAACTCAAGATGTGTTCATGTCTGAGGGACTCTGAATGAAGGCTGGGCGAGGATTTGTTTTATGCATTTTATGTGGAAGTAATTCCAAAGTTACAAAACGCTGAAAAAACGGAAGAAACACCCACATACCCTTCGCTCCGATTAGCCCTCGGTCGACAGTCTCTCTCCATCTGTCTCTGGGAAAGGAGACCTAATTTTTCATCTGAAACGTTTCAGGGTTTCATGGCCCTTTACCCCTAACTGGCCACTGGTTCCTATGAATAAGGATATTCTCTTACATAAACACATTTCTGTCACCAACTTTCCAAGCATATCGTGATATGATTCTTGTACCTAATCTACCAGGAGCACTGGTGGCGCAGTGGTTAAAGCATTCAGTTGCCAACCAAAGATTGGCAGTTTGAACCCACCACCCACTCTGCAGGAAAAAGAGAGGCAGTCTGCTTCCATGAAGACTCACAGCCTTGAAGACCCTGTGAGGCAGTTCCACTCTGTCCTCTAGGGGCGCTGTGAGTCAGAATCTATGCCTTGGCAGTGGGAGTGATTTGGGCTTTGCTTCTGTGAAGACTGACAGCCTTGGAGACCCCGTGGGGCAGTTCCACTCTGACCTCTAGGGGCGCTGTGAGTCGGAATCCACTCCACAGCAGTGGGTGTGGTTGGGGCTTTGTTTCCAGGAAGACTGACAGCCTTGAAGACCCTCCAGGTGCAGTTCCACTCTGTCCTCTAGGGGCGCTGTGGGTGGGAATCCATTCGATGGCAGTGGGTCTAAACCACCAGTTTGGGGGTAACTGTCCATCACAGCAGTTTCTACATTTAATTGTCACGGACCTCTGGCCTTCTTCTCATGTGGAGATCGGCATTTTGGAAGAACACAGCACCCTGACACCTATTGTTTACTGGCACCTTCCTTGTTTCATATTTGACGTTTCTTTGTGATTAAACCGAGGCTCCGTGTTCTCAGCCAGGTGACAGCCCCGTTGGGGCCACGTCCACATCTGGGCATCTGTCTGTCACGTGATCAGTGATGGAGTGGTCCAGTTTCCCCAGTACCTAGTTTTTGGTAGCACCTTTTTCCTCATTTGTAACTTATCAACTACCTGCAGGCAGACACACTCAGATCCTGCCTCTCATCAAAACGGCTTCACAGAAATTCTTTGTACAAATCTGCACTGTTTTTGCAAGTACTTTTTGTTAAGCCCGAAAAAAATAACAAAAATAAAAGGTTTATAACCATTTGGAAAAGGAGCTCTGGTGGCGCAGTGGACAAGGCATTTGCTTGCTAAGCAGAAGGTCAGTGGTTCAAACCCACCCACTGCTCCGTGGAAGGAAGATGGGGCAATCTACTTCTGTAAAGATTTACAGCCTTGGGAACCCAACGGGGGTCACTGTGAGTCGGAATCGACTGGAGGGCGCTAAGTTTGGTTTGGAGTTTGGTTAGAGTGGGAGGCAAAATGTGGAACAAAACACAGAAACACAGAAATGACAAGATTTACTGGTTGGATGGAGAATGGTGGAACCCCCAAGACTATGGGCTCAGGTTACCCTTTGGGCCTGGAAATGGACTCACGTCTGTGGACTGGCTCTCAGCCCAACAGGTCATAATGACCTACATGCAAAACACCTACCCCAGGGTGATGCACCCACCCACTCCAGGAAGATGCACCCCTGAGATCAATCAGCTGTGAGACATCAGACAGACAGCAGTCACAGTGGAAAGCTGGACAGACAGGGATGCGTAGTTAAGAAGGGCACAGGGCGCGGGTGGTCACAGGGAGGAGAGGGGAGCTTTTTATGGTCGGGGATGGTAATCGGCCGTGAAATCAAATGGGCGTGAACTGTTGAATGTAAAACAAATCTGCTTTGTAAATTTGCAACCAAAGCACAATAAAATAAATCAATAAAAATAAAAGGTTTGCCAAAAATTTTTTTTTTTTTTTTAAATGTGAAAGAATTTCAAATTCCTAGAGCTCTGGTAGCATAGTGCCTAAGGCATTTGACTGCTAACCAGAAGGCTGGCGGTTCAACCCCACCAGCCACTCCCTGGAAGGAAGGTTGGGCAACCTACTTCCATAGTGATACTGCCTCGGAAACCTGAAGAGGGGTCGCTACAAGTCGGGTCCGACTTGACGGCACAGAACATCAACGACGTCCAGACCCGCTGGACCCAGATGCTGACTTTCTGTACAGAAATTCTTTGTGATGTCTTTGCAATTTTTTCTGTAGGTCTAAAAGACTTACAAAGTAAAAAGCTTAAAACAAGTTGTTGCTTTTAAAAAGGTTGAACAGAAGTTTAAGTTCTTAAAGTTTCCAACACTTATTGGACCCACTGAAGCTGGAGGACCCTTGAGACTACTGCCTGGAGACAGTCTTTAAACCTCAAAGCCAACACCATCCCCAGAAGTTACCTCTGAATGAAAGTTTGGCATACCCGGAGCCCTGCGCGTCACTCACTCTGTGACAGCAAGCAGACAGTGGTTAGTCTACAGCCGACGGGAAGCGTGTGGCAGGGAGGGGATGCTAACAGGGTGAGAGGCCTCAGCTGGCAGTAATGAGCGTGCGGATGTGACGTGGTGACGGTGACCATGTCACTCAGCAGGCTGCTGCAGCCACTGTGCTGCGAGGGAACGGTGGGCCATGTGTATCTTCACCAAAGACAACACTGAACCAAACAGAACAAAGAAACCTAACCTGTGTTTCAGTTCTGCCAGGTGAAGAAATCTGCGTGACAGACAGGAAGATCAGACACGCCAACAACAAGGGGCTGGGCTTATGCCTGGAGGGGACGCAGGGCCAGCGCCTCAAGTCTCAGGGCTGGTCCCGACACCCGCAGCTGCTGGGACCCACAGTTGCTAGGGGGCCAACAGACAACAGATCCTGTGAGCACGAGGGGCCCACAGCTACCAGACCCCTGCAATCACTAGAACCTTTAGCCACGAGGACTCGCAGCCACTGGGTCCCCAACAAGTGGCTCTTCGTGAAAATGGTTTTCCTGACTAGGCACGGCCCCCCTCAGGACCAGGACACACAGTCCCGGCCGCGAGGGACACGCACCAGTCACAGGCATACGCGTCCCACCCAGCTGTGCTCCTGTCAGAGAACTCCCTGCCAGCTGGAGTCAGGACCCAGGGAAGCAGTTCCACAGACAGAAAGGGTAGGACTGACAGACAGATAATGTTTCCAGCACTTACTCTCCAGACCACATAATGAGGACGGGTAAGACAGAAAGACAGACGTCTCCATACTTACTCTCAAGAACAGAGATAATGAGGACAGGGAGGGCAGATGGACAGACAACGTCTCCACCCTCAGTCTCTAGACCAGACATAACAAGGGTGGGTAGGACAGACGGACGGACCTCTCTACACTCACTCTCCAGACCAGACATAATGAGGATGGGTAGGACACATGGACAGACGTCTCCACACTCACTCTCCAGACCAGATATAATGAGGATGGATAAGACAGATGGACGGATGTCTCCACACTCACTCTCGAGATCAGAGATAATGAGGATGGATAGGACAGATGGACGGACGTCTCCACACTCACTCTCCACACCAGACATAATGAGGACGGGTAGGACAGATGGATGGACGTCTCCACACTCACTCTCCAGACGAGATAATGGGGATGGGTAGGACAGACAGACGGACATCTCCACACTCACTCTCGAGATCAGAGATAATGAGGACAAGTAGGACAGATGGACGGATGTCTCCACACTCACTCTCCAGACCAGAGATAATGAGAACAGTTAAGACAGACGGACGGAGGTCTCCACACTCACTCTCCAGAGAGATAATGAGGACAGGTAGGACAGACGGATGGACGTCTCCACACTCACTCTCCAAACGAGATAATGGGGACGGGTAGGACAGATGGACGGACGTCTCCACACTCACTCTCGAGATCAGACATAATGAGGACGGGTAGGACAGACGGATGGACGTCTCCACACTCACTCTCCAGAGAGATAATGAGGACAGGTAGGACAGATGGACGGACGTCTCCACACTCACTCTCGAGATCAGAGATAATGAGGTTGTCGTGAAGCTTCACGGCTCGATGCTGCTCAACTTCATCTTCAAGTTCAAAGATGGTCTCCTTCATGTCGCTCCTCTCGGTCTCCTTCTCTTCCAGCTCCGATCTTAATTTTTCCAAGGTCATGTTTAGATCTTCAATCTGTTTCTTAGCTTCCTCTTGGAAGGCTCGGTATTCGTCTTCTACCTACAGGAAGGTGATTGTAAAGATTTAGAAAAACAAGCCATGGTGTTTCCAAGCACCTCCTGTGCATGTGAAAGTTGGACAGTGAATAAAGAAAAGCAAAGATGAACTGATGCCTTTGAACTGTGCTGTTGGTGCAGACGACTAAGTACAGTAGGACTGTCACAAGACTCAACAGATCCAGCTTAGGAAAAAACGTAACCAGAACTGTTAATTCCTAGTGAACACACACACACATTGTTCCCCTCAAATAAAGCAAAAACAAGAACCCACTGCCCTGGAGTGGATTCCGACCCACAGCGCCCCTAGAGGACAGAGTGGAACTGACTCAGAGAGTTTCCCAGGCTGTCAGTCTTCAAGGAAATAAAGCCCCAACCATACCCACTGCCATGGAGTTGACTCCAACTCACAGCGCCCCTAGAGGACAGAGGGGAACTGCCCCACAGGGTCTCCTCCGCTGTTAATCTTCACAGAAGCAGGCTGCCTCGTCTTTCTCCCCTGGAGAACCCATGTTGTAGTTACCCACTGATGGTGTTAACCACTGCACCACCAGAGCTCCTCGTACAAGTTAACACACCTCCTGAACTGTGTATCTCCAAAAGCAATCAGTAAAAAACAATTCAGGTCTAAATTACTCAAATTTTAGTCAAAGACATACTAACATGGGCTGCTGTAAGAGTCATCGCACCAAAATAACAAAAAATAAAACGTCACATGAAGGAATTAGCTAAGTCCTGCACATACAGCTGACGTCCACGGCCAGGCACTGGGGTGCCCAGATCCACCCCCCGCAGGCCTGGGCTGCCCCCCAGAGTTCTCTCCAGCACGCTGTGTGTGAACCAGAGGGCCCATCCCCAGACTGCTACAACCTGGCCAGTTACCACTACATCCCTCTACCAACAGCAGCCACTATAGCGTAGTCCAAAAAGGAGCAGTGGTTACAGTTCAAACCCACTAGGAAGAAAGATGATTGGAGACCCTCTGGGGCAGTTCCACTCTGTCCTCTAGGGGCGCTGTGAGTCAGAACCGACGTCCTGGCAGTGAGTAGGTGTAGTTCAAAAGTATTTTTTTCGCTCATGATGGAATTTGATTTGAAAAACTCCCAGTGTGACAGGACTGGAGGGAGGAGGGCTTGACATCTCTAACCCTACAGACTGGGATCCTGGCTCTCAGTATTTCTTACGAGAGGACGTAAGGCTGCGTGACAGGCGCCCGGCAGGCATACCCAGAACCAGGGACGGATGCCGGCACTGGAACAAGTCTCACCTCATCCTCTCACAGGCAAGGAAACGTTAGGAAACGCCCAGTGAATGAAAGTGATGTCATCACGCATAGTAACGAGGACTTTCTACTCCCAGGAGCTGTGGTGGCACAGTGCCTAAGGCATGGGACAGCTAACCAGATGATTGGTGGTTCAAACCCACCAGCCACTCCACAAAAGGAAGATGGGGCAATCTACTTCTGTAAAGATTTACTGCCTCAGAAACCCAAAGGGGGTCGCTGTGAGTTGGACCCAACTCGATGGCAGTGGGTTTGATTTTCTTTGGTTTCTACTCTATGCCAGGAAAAGAAAACCAGCCTGAAGCATTCGCCACGAGCTGACGGCCGAGCAGACCCGCAGGCCTGGCTTGTGACGAGCACGTCACGGGCCAGGCCCCACCGTCAGCCGTACCTTAGCAATGGCATCCTGCAAGCGATTGGCCTCGTTCCGCGTGTGAGCCAGGTCCTCCTGCAGGCCGCTGGCCAGGGCCTCCGCCTTCTCCTTGTCCAGCCTGACACTCTCCAGCAGGTCCTGAATGTCAGACTTGTCCCCGGAATTGTGGATGGAGTAGAGCTCGGCCACCCTCTGCTTCTCGTTCTCCAGCTGGGCCTTCAGGCGGTTCATCTCGACCTGGTCGCTGGCCACCGTGGCCTTGAACTCGTCCAGCGTGGCGGCCAGGGCCGCCCTGCCCTTCTGCTCGGCCTCCAGCGCCCGTTCCATGTGGTGGTTGCGCTCCTTGAGCGCCCCGATCATCTCCTGGGCCTCCTTGTTGTCCTGCTCCGCCATCTTGAGTGTGTTGCTGAGGTGCTGCTGGACGCCCAGGAGCTGTTCGCGCTCAAAGCGGGCGTTCTCGGCCAGGTCCACGTAGCGCTGCTCCAGCTCCATGTAGCGGCCGCTCTTGACGTCCTCGTCGATGACGTAGGCGACGTGGTGCTCGTCCAGGAGGGAGCGGAGGTACTCGATCTGCCGGCCGAAGTGCTCCAGCTTGTCGCTCTGCTGGCACAGGGACTCCATGAGGATGGCCTTCTCCTCGCCGAGCCGCTCGTTCTCGCTGTTCAGCTCCTGGGTGACCTGCTGCAGGTCGGCCAGCTCCTGCAGCGTGGCCTGCAGCTCCTCGCTCGTGCTGTGCTGGTTCTCCTCCATCTGGTGGATCCGCTCGGTCAGGCAGGCCACCGACACCTCGCTGCCGGTGCCGCTGCTCCCCTTGCGGGAGCGCGCCAGGCTGGGGATGCCCTCCGACTCGGAGGAGGACGGGGCGTCCAGGGCGTCGTCGCTGGACGTCAGGGGCTGGTAGGCCTCGCTGCACTCACTGTCCAGGTTGTCCATGGAGTTGCTGTGCTGGTGGCCCAGCAGCGTGTTCTCATCCTGACTCAGCAGGTCCTCCACGGAGCCGGGCGCCGAGCCCTCCACAGAGGAGGTCAGGGGGCCCCCGCCGTCACTCTGGCTCCCGGGGGCGACCTCTGGGCTCAGGGAAGAGTAGCCAAAGAGTTTCTCGGGGTTGTCCGAGCGCTGCTCCAGGGAGAAGCCCAGCGCGTTCAGCCTGTCCTTGAGCATCCTGTTCTCGTCCCTCAGCTGCTTGAGCTCCTCGCGGATGGCGGCGTTCTGGTCCTGCAGCTGCAGCAGCGTGGACTCCACGTCCGTCGGCTGGTGGGCGGCGGTGGCGCCCTTGTCTGCGGTCTTCTCGTCGCCCTCACAGGGGTCCTCGCTGAGGCCCAGCTGGGCGCGCATGCCTCGCAGCTCGTTGCGCAGGTGGACGATCTCCACGTCCTTGGCCTTGGCCAGCGTCAGGAGATCTTTCACTCTGGTCTCCAAGGCAGCTTTGTCGCTGATCTGACTGTCTGACTTTGACTTGCTCATGCGCACGTCACTCTCGGTGGCGGTGCGGCTGCGGGGGCGCTTGGCCAGCACCACGTCATTGGTACCCTGCCCTGCGGAGGGTGGCTTCTTGCTCTGGTTCAGTCGGGTACGTTCACGCAGTCTTTCTCTGGTAGAGCTGGCCTCTTTATTCCCTGCAGACACGCTTCGCTTGGCTGAAGAGCTTGTGCCTATGAGTTCAAAGTAAAGAAATTCAGGCCACCTCGTTAGCAGCAGAAAGGCTTACAGCAGTGCTCCTGGTCCGGCGGGCTGACGGCCGACACACCCTGACGCCCAGGCGCTCTGCTGGGGCTGTGCTGCGGCACACAGCTGCTCGCCAACAGGCGGCACCTTAGACCTGCTGCACTCTGGGAGAAAGATGAGCCAGTCTGCTTCCAGGAAGACTGACACCCTGCGGGGCAATTCCACTCCGTCCTCTAGGGTTGTTGAGAATCAGAATTGGCTCTAGGGCAGAGGGTTTGATTTTTTTAATTTTTTGCGCAGGTAACTGCACAAGCTGGGGGTGAGGACATGGGGCTGAGCTACTGATCTGACTACTCTGTACGTCTGAAACTGTCCACGATCAGACAGCACAACATAATCACCCGTGCACCCTGTCTACTCAATGCCACCAGCCATTACCCACTGCCACTGAGTCGATCACAGCGCCCCTAGAGGACAGAGTGGAACTGCACCACAGGGTCTCCCAGGCTGTCAGTCTTCATGGAAGCAAAGCCCAAACCACACCCACTGCCTGGAGTCCATTCTGACCCACAGCGCCCCTAGAGGACAGAGTGGAACTGCCCCACAGGGTCTCCAAGGCTGTCAATCTTCACAGAAGCAAAGCCCAAACCACACCCACTGCCTGGAGTCCATTCTGACCCACAGCGCCCCTAGAGGACAGAGTGGAACTGCACCACAGGGTCTCCAAGGCTGTCAGTCTTCACGGAAGCAAAGCCCAAACCACACCCACTGCCTGGAGTCCATTCTGACCCACAGCGCCCCTAGAGGACAGAGTGGAACTGCCCACAGGGCTTCCCAGGCTGTCAGTCTTCACGGAAGCAGACTGCCTCATCTTCTTCCCATGGAGCAGCCAGAGGGCTCCAACTGCCGACCTCCTGATTGGCAGCCGCACACTTTACCCATCACACCACCAGAGCTCCCCGTGCTGGCACAAAGGCACTCACTCGTTAACCACGCCTGCTGGTACCTGTGCTGATCCTGGCTTTGCTCTCCACGGTGTTCATGGCGGGGTTGGGCGCAGACACGGCTGCAGACGGGCAGGTGCTTCTCTTTCCTTTAAGACCATTCGTCACCGGCGCCCCTCCGGCCGCTCCAGCTAAGAGGTCATCGCTGCTCTTGGTCTGAAAGCACAGAGAATAGAGACAAAGTGATGGAAGGACGAGGTGGTGGGAGGAAGCAACGTTGGAGGCCAAGCCAGAAGTGGCCCTACGTCATGTGCCAGGGCACCACCAAGACCGCCTGAGCTTTCAGGACAAAAATAAACACACTGGAAAATGGAACTGAGTGTAAAATTATTGCTAAGGAAAAACAGTGACCGATACACACATCACAAACTAAGGAGAAGACCCACATGATCATCCCTCTGGATCCAGCAAAAGCCTTTAATAAAGGCCCGTACCCTTCTTGACAAAAACCCTAAAGCAGACTGAAACAGAGGGGAAATTCCTCAGTATGCCTCGGCATATAGGAAAAGCCAACAACCAACATTATACTTCACAGAGGAGTGAGAGCTTTCCCCTTGAAATCACGACAAGGCAAGGGTTCCTGTTCTCACAACTTCTATTCAATACTGTATAAGAAATCCTAGCCACAGCACTAAGACAAAAAAGAAAGAAAGAAAATATATCCAGACTGGAAAAGAAGTAAAATTACCTCCACTCTCGAATGATGCGGTCCTATACACACAGAAAATCCCAAAGAGTCCATAAGAAAACTTCTAGAGCTAAGAGAGGGACTTAGCAGAGTCACGGGGTACAAGGTAACCAACAAAACCCAGCTGAGTTTGTATACCCCAGCAGTGAGAAATCTGAGGGGGAAATAGGGAAACAACTCCATTTACAATAGCATCCAAGAGAGTCAGATAACACCTGGGAACACTCCCACCAGGGACATGAAGGACTTACACGATGGAAACTATAATCACTGCTGAAAGGGATGAAAGAAGACTTCAGCCAATGGACAGATGCCCCATGTTCAGGGACTGCAAGACTTAATACTGTTAAGATGTCAATACTACCCAAAGCAATCTGTAGATTTAATGCAATCTCGATCAAAATTCCAACAGCCTTTTTTTAAAAAACAGAAATAGAAAAATCAATCCTCAACTTTCTATGGAAAGGCAAGAGGCCCCAAATAGCTAAAACAATGCTGATAGAGAACAAAATAGGAAGACACACACTTCCTGATTCGAAGACATACTATAAAGCTACAATAATCAAAACAGCCTGGTACTGGAATAACAACAGACACACAGAACTGAGAGTCCAGAAATAAGCCCACACACCTATGGTCAACTGATTTATGACTCTATACTTTCCGCATCATGGACTCCAGACTTTTTAGAGCCATGGAGGGTGGATGAACCCATGAAATTATTGTCCTGAGCCAACCTTTAAACCTGAAACCAAGAACATTCCCTGAAGACTTCTCTTTTTCTTTTCAAATAATTTTTATTGTGATTTGGGTGGAAATTTACTGAGTAAATTCACTTTCCACACAGCAGTTCCTAGACATTTTCTTTCACGTCATTGCCTGCAATCCCCAGCCTGCAACAGCTGTCTCCCCACTTCCTCCCTGGGGTTACTCCTTCCCTGTGTCCTTCTTTCCCACTCATACCTGCCCCTTCCTAAAGTCTTCTTAAAACCACACTACAGTTTAGGTTAACTAGTGAAGAAAGTCTGCCCTGCGTTTTGTGGCCTCTGAAGAACTATGTTAAAGACATCTGTCTTGAGACTGGAGTGACAACAGTGGCTGGGAAGACTTAGGGGGCAGTGACTTCACACTGATGGGGGAGGAATGGTTCAGAAAAGGAGGGTGAGTGTGATTACACAATTTGAAGGATGTCATCAAAGGGTCCATGCAGGAACTGTTGGGCTTGGTCTACGTTCTGCTGTGTGTCTTCTAAACAAAATAGGTGGTAACTGCACAGGGCACTGAGTTGCTGCGGATGGTGGTGGGACAGTTAGGAAAGGACAACGGGGAGGGGGTCGCACAACACGACGAATGTAACCAGTGTCACTGAACCACCTGTGCAGGAACCACTGAAATAGCAAATGCTGTATTACATACGTTTTCAGCACAATTAACAATTAACTCCAGATAGACTGAAAATCTTAGTAAAAATAGAAGAAGAAAACATAGGAGACCATCTTCCTAATCTTGGCATAGGAAAAGATTTCTTTAACAAAACACAAAATAAGACTAACCAAAAATAAAAGATTGATAAAATGAAACCAAATCCATCTTCACTGAGTCCATTCTGACCCACAGCGCCCCTAGGGGACAGAGTGGAACTGCCCCACAGGGTCTCCAAGGCTGTCAGTCTTCACAGAAGCAAAGCCCAAACCACACCCACTGCCGTGGAGTCCATTCTGACCCACAGCGCCCCTAGAGGACAGAGTGGAACTGGCCCAGAGGGTTTCCAAGACGGCCGGTCTTCACGGAAGGTGACTGCCTCATCTTTCTCCTGCAGAGCAGCTAGTGGGTTTGAACCAGTGACCTACTGGTTAGCAGCTGAGTGCTTTAATCACTATGGCACCAGAGCTCCCTACATCCTCAACACTCCTCATTTAATAATTAAACAGCAGGGTCAAGAAGGAGGCTAGTGTTGAGGGTCTTGTGAGGTTCTGCCCTGGGATGTGCAGCCCTCTGGCCCTGCATCCGGGGACGCCCACTGCCGCAGCGTGCAGGGTGCCCTGCATCCCTGGGGGCTGCAGCTCTCTGAAGGTGACCAGTAACTGAGCCCAGGTGACAGGCACTGAGATTCCACAAGCACCTATGCAAACAACAAAGCTGGCACGGACCACAGTGCAGAGCGTACGCGACAGAGCGTGAAGCATCTCTGAGGGTGGGCAGCGTGACAGCTCTCACCCACCTCTGCCCCTGAACAACAAAGCAGGCCCATGTGGGCCACGGGGCAGCTCTCTTGGTAGACAAACGAGAACAAGGAAATAACAATAATTAAGTGTGTGACAATCCTCTCCCGACCCGTCACGTCCCACAGTCACCTCTCCATACCTTGGACAGCGATGCTGCTGCCGCCCCTGCCTTGGCGGGTCTGCCTCCCGCAGGCGCGGGGGCGCTGCTCTCAGGCTTGGCTCTGTCTGCGGTCTGCGCCTTGCCGAGCCCGGACACTTTAGGCACTGAGCCGACACTCCTGCTTGCCTTCTTCATTCTGGGCTGCCAACGCGCGGTGCATTTACAGGCAAACCTGTGCAGAAAAAGGGTATTCTGCTGAGAACACAGCAGGAAACGGCTCCGTGGAAACGTGATGCTGAGGAACTCACCGAACCAACCCAACCCACCACCCTCGGGTCTGAGCCCACGCAGACACCATGACCCGCAGTCGGGTCCCCACCAACACAGACACATTGATCCTTGGCCCTCAGGTCCCTGCCAGCTCAGACACCATCACCTACAGCCGTCAGGTCCCTGCCAACTCAGATGCCAAGACCTACCACCATAGGGTGGATTCCAACTCATAGCAACCCTGTAGGACAAGAGAACTGCCCCAGAGGGTCTCCAAGGCTGTCAGTCTTCACGGAAGCCGACTGCCTTGTTTTTCTCCCACAGAGCAGTAGGTAGGTTTGAACCATCAACCTTTCTGTTAGAAGACGAGTGCTTTAACCACTGTGCCACCAGAGTGTCTTAGACTTTCACCAGATCATCAACAAAAACATTGGAAAACTAGACTTCTCTACAGAAAACAAAAGGGGGGAAATGCTTAGAACCTTTTCAAGGCTTCTCCCCTGGATCCCACTAGTTTGAAATGATTTACTGTGTCCTGTCTCAGTCAGTAAACAGAATACACGAGGGGCTGGTGGAACAATGGATCCGCACAGGGCGCATCCCGTACGTCTAACAGGGCAGTGTCCGTCCAGGTGCTCTGAGGATAAGCCCTTCTGCGATCATCGGGGGAGGGCAACTTCCCAGCTCACCCCATATGGTGCCCAGTGCACATACCTGGCATGACAGGCCCCCACACGCCATCAAGAGCCCAGAACATGTTATCAAGAGGCAGCATACACACGCTTTATCAGCGGGTGCCCAGGGAGGAGGCTCAGAGGCAAGAAGGGGCAGGAGAGGAGGAAGGGAAACGGGAAACACAGGGAGGAAGTGGAAGGAGAGCTGTTACCTGGTGGGGCTGCTGTCAACGTCACGAAACAAAATGGGTGTGAAGTGCTGAACGGGAAACCAACTCCCTCTGAACTTCCACCAAAATCACAGTCCAAAGTTTTTTAAAAAATCTGTACCAAAACGTGAGCCCTAATTTTTGGTTCGGGACATAAGGCTACTCCATACACCTGTAAGGAATGGGACGGTGACCCTCCCACCTTGAGTTCAGCCCTGGAACAGTGGCAACAGCACTCCGAGCGGGAGCCAGAGACAGCCTCAAGGAAGCACTTACCAACAGAACTGGCAAAGCCAACCTGTGCTGGGCCACGCGCAGGGAGAGCAAAACAACCATCAAGCCTGAAAGCCTATGAGAGGAGCCAGGTGGTGCAGTGGTTAAGGCATTCAGCCACTGACCAGAAGGCTGGAGGCTCAAACCCACCAGTCTCTCTGAGGGAGAGAGATGAGGCAGGCAGTCCACTTCCGTGAAGACCGTCAGCCTTGGAGACCCTGTGGGGCAGTTCCACTCTGTCCTCTAGGGGCGCTGTGGGTCAGAATGGACTCCA